AACCCGACACGAGCGTACTGTCAATAATTGAGGCCACAGCAATATCACTGGATGCCCTGACCATAAAACAATTACCAGGGAACACATTGGGTTACTAGAACTAATCAAGCAACGTTTTAGAATGCTCCTACTACACAAATGCACATCTACGTATATATATATATATATATATATATATATATACTAATTTATTTCGCGGTACTCTAGAGGAACAGTGGCAGAGATAACCTCCAGTGCAGCTGCCCACGACCTGATGCCAACTGGCGCTAGATGCGACTAAAGAAAATATCAAATAATTCGGATGTTGCTATGGCTAATTGGCTATTCATTTTCTCTATGGTACTTTTACTTTATCATGTGCTCTGTTGTCAGTCAGAAAAACAATGCTGAGACCTGAGTAAAGGCGAGGTGCATCAGTCCTGCACGCGACCCGCCAACAGTGAGTCGTGTCCCTAATGCATTTTGCTACGACAGGTCGGTGGCTTCTCGTACCGCTAACAGAAGACACAATACGTAGAATCCAGCAACCGTAATCACCGCAGCAGGCAGCCCGATGCCATCATTATACCTTATGTATATATATTATACATTAGCATGATTGTTATTATTCGTAGGGCATCGTTCTAACTGTCATGAAAGCCCCTGCTGTACTACAAAAGCGGCTAGCAACGCGACAACTAAACGTGGCCATTATAGACGATCGGCGAGCAGTAGATAGCCACGTATACTTATCGTACTAACGGACTATTTGTTGACGCCAAACCACGCTACTGTGATGAGCGGACCGGCGAATGGTATTTGACAAAATAGACTCGACGTCGTTAAATCGCGACGGCGGGCTGGGCTGGGCTGGGCTGGGCTGTAAACGACAACGTTACAACAGTCTTAACTGGTGGACACAGTCAACCGGGTGTTCAGTTGTTTCAGCGCAACACTTATATATAGCCACGCTAATGTTGCAACGATTTCTATTAAAGCTGAAAGTATCACGACCAAGGTGCAGAGGAGACGGGAACGCGTTTAGATCGAATAACAACAAATGAACGCGAATAACCAATAGAGATAAATGGAAAAGATAGACCATCCGTATTATATATATATATATATAATCTTTCGCAGCAGAAAGAACGTTCTATTTGTTTGCGGGCTGAAAGGGCATTCAGACAGGTAGTCGACTCGGTTTATGTATTGTTGCTTTTTTATGGTGCTCCGGCCTAGTTATCTGCTGACGTTTTTGAACTGTAGTTTGTTTAGCCGGGTTACGCCAGCCTCTACAAATGCATTAGTAATAATAAAATGAGGAAAACTGTAGCATGAAGCGCTGCGGCCGCTTTTGTTGTAACCACCTCGATTAAATCCGTCCCTCTCTATCGTTGAGGGCCGTTTATGTCGAGATCAACATGGGAATACCCGCAGATCAAACAGTCAACAGTGTTTTACAGCGACGGAACTATCATTGTCGGCATCAATGAGAAGAACATCTATTTCTAATAGTTTGCTAAGTGGGCTGACAGATCACAAGATAGACATCCGTGTATTGAGCAATAATACGCCAGGCACGCGGACATTCACACTCGAGCGGGTTCACAAGGCATGAACAAGAAACCCGGTCTTCTGTTTCTGTAATCAGTGCCTCATTGCACCCAGCAACAGCTACGGTGACGGCAGTTGTAGCAATAGAAGGAATAGACCCTATAGACGGATACATACGTAACAAGGAATATACTTGCAGAAAAAAATAACCCTGCTTCAAATAAAAATAAACTTTCTTGTAATAACTTTTCATGAAGAATGCGATCACGTATTATTGACGTTGAAGTAACGTCATGACCGTCAGATGACGAAGCAAGCAATGATAATCGGTCGCCAAAAAAAAATATGACGAATAGTCAGTCATATGTACGTAGAATAATCGTGGTCGACAAAGACATGCATTCCCGGCAGAACAATCAAATTTTATTGCTATTATTATCATTATTGTTATTGGTATGCCTAACCCATTTCGTTATTGAGGACGGACGCGTTTTTTAGGTAGTGGCAAACCCAACAGAGCACCTCCTCTCGTAAGAGGAACTAGCAGCGTCGACCGTTCGCTACTGCTTTTGCTGGTGCTTCCTTGGCTTTCGTCCCCCACCGACTCGACGGTTCATACGCTGAGTCTCTAATCCCCAACTGAACCAATTACCATAGCTACATCCACTTAGCAGGCCGGCGATAGCATATTCCTGCTAAAGTATTGCTACCAACGAACTACCACCGTCAACAACAACGAGAACATATTGTGTGAAGGACAGGACACACAGATGCTTCACGGTGTCTTACTGAGCTTAGCCCAGACCGCCAATCCCCGTCTGCGGCAGCCGTTCAGGCCACTGCGCCGGTAGGACAACGGACGGCCAGTAACTGGCGGTTTCAAGCAACGTTTATGTACACTACTATGAACGCATTTATGCGTGCGGAATTGGAACTTTGAATCATAATTGTGTCGTATAGCAGCCGTCTCGCCTCACCCCATGCTAACGTCTCATTTTCGACTATCCCATCTGCCTCCTATCTGAAACGCCCGTCGGCACCCGGAGTCAACCCAAGCCAAACCTTGCTCAAAGCGTTTCGCCTCCGCCGTCTTTGTTAGCCTCTCCAGGCGAGCGGCCCACGCTGGACGCTCAGCGACTGCGATTAACTTTCAAGCCACCCTAATCCCTGCTGCATGTCGACTTCCAACGGCATTCCCCTTAGTGCCCCCAACCCAAAACAGCCTAGTCAGCCGAGAATAGGCTCGGGACTTGAGCTTCTCTAGCTTTCAGTAGCTAGACACTGCTCCCGAGTCTACGAAGAGCTGCAGAGCCGACACCGAAGATAAATTATCGTTATCGTAATAGCATTGAACGCAATTAGATCTGGCTGCGACGCCCACCAACTGCAGAAAATAAATACGCCGACAATTTATATTATATTTTTGTCTGTGTGTGTTACACATATAGGGATGAATGCTTACGTGTTCGGCTACGTAGAGCGTTTTACGTAAATATAATATATGACGAATACAGGTGATTTGGACGCCATTATAGTTATTATTATTGGTATTTATTGAGTGAGAATTAATCGAGTATTGTTGTTAACAAAGAAAATCTATAAATAACATATAAATGCGTGTGATTTCCGGACCAACTTCGTAATTACTGGGAAACACGAACGCTTCTAATGCCTAGAACAAATGTTCTAATCTTCATTAACATGCTATCTATATAACTTGAAGACTTCAATAAAAATTATAATAGTAGCGGCCAGAAACGTGTAATTTTCTAAATCTCTCTTTTCGTATCATAAATCAACATGTTCTAAGCACCCTACAATAACAGAACTATATCTTTAATCGTTACTGTGCACACCGATTGCCTCTCTGTGGCCCCTTGACCCGTACGGAGGCTAGTTGCAAGACAAACGGGGTGAGACTTCTCACAGAGAAATATCGTTGCGTAGTTGAAGATTCATACAATGCGTCTGTGTAGTCATAGATATTCTTACCGTAAGCTTTTCAATTCTGATGGTAGGTTTGTTTTGGAGCAGGTCACCAGTGAGGTCTAGGGGTCTACACGGGTGAACCGCCAAGTCCTTTCCTATCATCTGTTGTCAATGGCAAAATATCTGTAGTAGAACTTTGGCTTCCGTAATGTTAATTAATTTACGAGATCTAAGGGCGACGACTGAGTGTAGGTGGTGGCCTATCGTAGGAAAATAGAGTACAACAAATTGAATGAGAAATACAGACATTCGTCTATATCGCGTAATTAACAACTTATTCGATGAATGAATAGCATGGCATGTTGGATGGATAATAGCTGGTTGGTAAAATAGCGTATGGGTTTGTGCGCAGGTCGTTTCGTTTGACAATTATGGTATGAGGCCATGGCTCCCTTAAAGAGTGAATGCTGTGACCTTGGAGTCGTTCCAGTCTCACCCTAACTTAAGCCTTACAACCCATTCATACGTCGTACAGCACGGGCCAATGTGATCTTCTGATTGCTAGGCTGGCTACAAAAATGTTTTTTTTAAGGTTAGGTAGCCTAAAAGTTGTTTCAACTACTTGCTACCGCGACTTCAGGTTAATTACTATAGCAAGCCGATGGTTAGTAGACCCAGTTTAACCAACAACTAGTCAAAGCCGGGCTGATGGGACGTGAGGCGAGAAGTCGCAATGCTGAAAAGAAAAGTGCCGGGTTTTTCCCAGCATCGGACACCTGGTGGGTAGTCATGCCAAGAAATTAGTTTGTTAAGACAACTACTCGGTGGGATGGACAAATGGAGCGAGGGAGACAAGTTAACTTAGCACAAGGCGGGTGCCTGGCAAAGCGGCACCTGAATTAGGACACGAACGAACGAACGAACGAACAGGTTCAGTAGTTTACGGCGTTCGCGAGGATTTTCCATGGGTAGTTGTTTCTGCCGGTCTTCCCCAAATTACGACTGCTAGCTCTAAGTCAAAAGTATTGTTTTGGATGGAAGCATAGGTGGTTTTCGGTTTTTTGAGGAAGCTAAAAGCCATGCTTGAATTAGACCTATAATTATAGGTCTAATCATTTATTACAACTATAACTTCAGGTCGTTAAAGCGTCCGTACAATGATAATTTTTTTTTGGCTTTTGTGTTATTGCTGAGTTGACAATATGAGTTCTAGAGGCGTAGCGCTTGAATGGATAACAATTTACTCCATTAACAAATTCGAACCTATAAGACGTGGGTAATGACTTTCTCCTTTCAAGCCCCTGCCGCTACCGCCTATTTCACTCCGCGGGCTGACAAAATCCAAGATAGAAAGAAACGTTCGTGGAAATAGTCGACCCTATGCAAAAAGTTCGTACACTTGTTGTCTGGAGTATTGCGGTTCTACCAATCGAGAGATTTAACTAGGTTATGAAAATGAAAAAAATAAGATGACTTCAATTATTATATAGTAACGTCGAGTGGCGGTTTCTACTTTCATTTTCTTTTTCAATACTCACCTGGACCGTCTTGTTGTGGGATCCTTCATGACCATCACTTCGGATATTTCGCCAAATTTGCTAAAGTATTCCCGGAGGCCCTCTGAAAACGATCGTAAGAGAAGCGTCGTTGGTTAGCCGTATTTTCTCTATAAGATTATGTTTGTATTATCATCATTATTGTTAGCCGCTCTCACAGTTTTTTTTTTTTTTTTTTTTTCACACCAGAATATTGACGTTGAACAATTACCTAGTTAAGATTCTATTGGCGTCTTATATTGTTTGCACGTATAACAACATTTTGTGTTCGTTTAACAACGCACAAATAGCAAATGATTTTATATATTGTTGAAATCCAGTAGTGTTATTTGAATAAGAACGATTTGAACCGGTAAGACGCAACGGCCCTGCAGGCATCGTGATTTTCACAACAATCAATAATAAATCCACTTTAATCCGATAGTTACTTAAACATTACTAAATGTATTAAGTCGATATTTGTAGCCGGTACTTTTCGTACGTTCTGTAAAGCAACTCGAAGGTACTTCGAGGTAGTCTTATACATGGTAGACACACATAGATAAAAATACTGTGTATAATAGGCCACATGTTATAACTTTAGGCCTACGTACACTCTACAATGGTAATAGTTGTTCGTGCAATTGAGAGCTAGCTAATATTTGACAAATACCGAATATAATATGGTATATCATTTTGCTTCTAATCAGCCTTAATACTCTGATTGATTTATTATGAGGGTGGAATAATCGTATTTGTCCACAAACGGCCCCTCTACATGAGTTTCTGTACTAACTCTAACATGTTACAAAAGAACTAAAGAGACCTCGTTGTTATTATATATATTTTGGAAATGTTTTTTCTTTAGATGACTCTTGACTGTTCCCTGTACGACATTTCTAAATACCAATGCTTTAGTATTGTTTCAAGCACCTTTTAGGGTCAAGCAATGTAAATAAGTTAAGGAATAAAGGATGAACGTTTCCTATTTACGCGACTTTAGTCAAATAAATAAGCCGACGCATTCGAGTGCAGATTCGATCCTAGACTACTTCTGTTCATAAACGAACATGTTACAACAGCATCTTCACTTCATCAGATGTTACAATTAGCCGCCCTGAATCTCAGTCACTTTGAGCCATCCTTAACCGCTTCAACAGGTTCTTCACTGAAGCGGTCGCTGAGAACCGCATTATTTCGATACTGAAATGATGGTACGAGTGTTTTCAAAAAATACCAGCAGAACTAGCTACAAGTATATAGAAATATGACCGAGAAAATCGTCTAAAGTTATTGCGTCTTATTTCAGCCTACATCATTAGCACAAATGATGCCTATTAGAGATCTGCAACGAAGCCAACCCCCAAAGACCTGACCAAGTACCCGCATGGAAAAAACAAAGGGCAGCTAACAAAAGTCTAACCAAAGCAGCAAATTGCATATAGATTCAATAGAACTGTTGCTATGGACACACGATTTCCGTTATCGACTACCATCGCTTAAGCTTCGATTACGAAAGTCATCGTCCTACTCGAGGTCGCTGCCACGTTTCTGTTGCAGTTGGTGTCAGATCTAACTCTCTTCTGGACGTATATGGTCATCCACGCATACAGTTAGTATAACTCGCCTCGGTTGTTAGGACCGGCGTTTAGCAGCTAGCTTGATCGCTTCCCCCTCTCAGTCCTAATTCTGCCCTTCTCCATGACAAAGGTCGCTACAGTTTCCCGCCTCAAACGAACCTCTCTATCCATCGGACCAATGTATATGTAAATTAAGTTCCAGAGCAGGGCGACCTGCTGCGTTTCTGCTGCTTCTACGTCAAGTGGCTAAACCAGTCACTGGTCGCCCCTAACGCAGAGTCTGCTAACGTTTAAGTGCTCACCGGTGCACGCGGCTTTGCCATTAGGGAAACTCCTATTCCGTGCTACAACGACAACCGCCTTTGAGAAGATACCCCGGGGTACTAACACCTCTTGGCAAACGGAGGCTCTTGTTTTGCATGATCAGTTTAGCTTCCTTCTAGAACATAGAAACAGTTCCACCAGCAACAGCAGCAGAAGTCAACGTGAACTGGTATGATGCTCAGAACACCTCGGGTATTTAGCTATTTCACTAGGGACAGAGATACTCTCATGCTTTGCTTACACTCGCACCTGCGTACACAAAATTTCTTTAACACGAGTTTTATAAAGACCAGTTTTCATTGAGAAGGATATGATAGAAGACCAGAGTACGCCGACTCACACAAATGAAGTACTTCTCCATGAAGCCCGCACCCGAATAAATTCGTGTAAATGGCCAAGCCACGTAATCGACCAGCGCCAAGAACATATCAAACATCGGTCAGATCATCACAAGAGGAAGGGCGGCTGAGGGCTAGATCGCCGCAGAAGGGCGTCAGGTCGTGGTTGCCGGTGTTGGAGCAAAGAGCGCAAAGTAGCGACGGAAGGTAGTTGTACGGCTGTGGCGACGTTGTGCAGTTATTAGAAAGGTAACTAGCTGAGAGACGTTGCAGGGCGCGATATCATTGGCCGTTGTAAAAGGCGCAGCCGCACGGGGGACACAGCAATGGCCGAGTGTAATCGTCAAGAATGCAAACAATAAAGAACTGCTAACTCGGACGGAGAAGGCACTAGCCGCCATTCGATATCTGTCAGTCTCCGACAAATAGCCTGGTCCCCCTAATATATATCTTGGAGTCGATGACGGGAGAGCTTACATGAGTATGTCGCGCTGATGATGACTTTAGACATTTTGCTGTATTGTAGGGTGTGTGAGGTAGAAGGGACCGCAATGATAATGATGACATCAAGACGACAATAATGATATCACGACAGTAATAGCGGCACCAGTAGAAAAGGGTTGGGGGTTATGGGGTAGAAAGGACCACGATGATAGTAATGATGACATCGTAATAATAACCTTGTGACAGCTATAGCGGCAGAGAGAGCGAAACAGGGAGTTGTTTTAATAATACGCAAACGATCGATAAAAAAGCTATTGATCGATTTACGTATCCATGTTATATATAGCATGTAACAATTCCCCTAGCACTCATTAACCTTATGTCAATACCGCTGTGTAGCTATTGCAGTAACAACAACTTTCAGTAATTCGTCATATTGCTTCAGTCTCCTGTATGAGATTGGAACGGTCCGAGATGTACAGACCATTTAAATGCATACCGTTCATATAGACGGAGAGAGATAGAGTTGGGCATGTTAATTCAAACTTTTCTCATGAGCTTTTTGCAGGATTGTATCTAAACGAAACATATTTCAGCAGTTCCCTGCGTGTGTTAGAAACGTATTTTTTTAATCAACTATCATTCATGGCAATTGTGGATATGTTTCGTTCAGAACCTAAACCATTAACTGATAATTCTTTAAATGCTCCTTCTGTAACCTGCAAATGACTTTTCGGAAACGATACTGATTGTTGTAAAATTATCAAAGTGTCCCTTAATACTATACAGAAACAAAAGATTAATTCTCAAGCTGATAACAGGTCGTAGAGTCCTAAAAATGCAAAAAATAAGAACAAAAAGTTTAAAACCTATAACAAGGACAAAAAACCAGCCACTTTGTCTAGACGATCTAAATTACAATCAATACCTTTTTTTCTTCAAAACGGCCAGTAATTTCTCCTCAAAGGCCATAGGTATAAGGTATAACTTTTTGAATTCTTTCGATAATTTTCAAGCCGTCAATCCCGAGCAAAAAAAGTTTTTATGTTTAATGTAAATTTGTGAAGCGTCGAAGACTCACATAGCTGATCTTCGTTCAGGTTTCGAAAGTTGTTTTTCGATATGATATATTTGTTATCTTCTTCTGCAAGGATTACAACTACAAGAATGGCGGATAAAAGTATTTATTTGCAGCACTATCGAACTACTTGTTTATAGTGTTAAGAGACGACGGATGGATGCTGCAACGAATTTCTCGCTAAAATTTTTGTCAAATTTTAATATCCCACCCCGTGCTAAAAAATGTACATATAACTTAAATGATTATAACTTCATTTTTTGTTCAGATTTAATTGATATTTAAATTGCAAAAGGATCTACATAAATAACTTTTCCTCTTATATATTTAGAATAATTAGCCTTGGTACACTGTTGTACTCTATGAGTCCCATTCGTTCGGTATATCTGTTTCGAATTAAGATTACCCCTTACATAGTGCATAGCTGCTCCGTCTCATTAATAACTAAAAATTTCTCCTTTCCATTAGATTCCCCCCGAGTACGTGGGAAAATATATTCTTGCACTAGATTCAAATAGTTGGCGCCAATCGCCATACTGTGTGCGGCGGCGAGGTACTAGCTGGCATGCATGAAGAGGCCGGTTTGTACGTATCGCAAGGCTGGTATCTCGATCGGTCTCGATGTCTGCGACAATCAGCTCAGCTACCGCATTTCACGTGCAACGCGTAGGTCTGCCAAATCTCTCTATCGCAATTGACTTCGACGATGGACTATCTACGCTCGCTCACCAATTATACGCTTGCTTTCCACTTATTCAAACAAACGATTGTTGGCTTCCGAAATGCACCTCAATTAAAGCTGCATCACTTCCATAGGCAGCGTCCTCACCCCACGAGAGGGCTTCACCTCTAAACAGAAGCTCGTCATCGAAATTTATCTTTCGCAGCAGCAACTAGCTTCAGCAGTGGATTTATCTGTCTCTCAATGTTTGCCGTACTAAAGTAAAAAGTACGTAAAAGAAATTCTAGCTTCTGATCTATTCGAGCAGAACGCGTAGAAGTGCATGCGATGTTTATTCAAAAGTGCGCGCTTTGCGTGTACTCAATTCGCCGCGCTCTTTCGTTCCCTACAATTTCTGTGCCATCGACGTAAACAAACTAGTACACTAGCTATCAATTGAATGAACGTCCTTATGTCTCCCGCTATATCTATCTTGTTAGTCAATGACAAGGACAGCAGTTCCCAGCCGCCGTTACTAATACAATCAGCTCTGTATCAGGGGGGTCTGAATCAACCTTCCCAATCAATGCTACCGGCTCTCTTCAGCCACTCCTACATATTGCCCTGCTTTTCTGCAATAATTCGATTCGCAAGTTCTAC